AAGACTATGATGTGGTAATCAATTTCCATCCTTGGAAAGCAAATGTGTTGGTGGATGCTTTAAGTCGAAAGACGTTTGCAGCCTTACGAGCTTTAGATGCTAAGTTGTCATTGGATGGTGATGGTGCATTATGTACGAAATTAACCCTTCATCCATCATGGCTAGACAGAGTCAAGGAATTACAAACCAAAGATAAAAAGTATTTGAAGAAGTTACATTAAGTGAAGAATTGAGATCTTTATGATTATGAGATTAAAGTTGATGGGAACTTGTACTATCAAATGAGACTAGTGATTCCAGATGATGATGAGTTAAAGAATGGTCTATTAAAGGAAGCTCACTATAGTCATTTGATAATGCACCCGGGTGGAAACAAGATGTATATGGATCTCAAGAGTCGTTACTGGTGGCCAGGAATAAAAAGAAATATTACGAAATTTATGTCCAAGTGTTTGACTTGTCAGCAAGTCAAAGCGGAACATCAAGTTCCATCAGGACTGTTGCAACCTATGTCTATTCCTCAGTGAAAATGGAAGAATGTAACGATGGATTTTGTGACGGGGTTACCTTTGACCCCAAACAAAAGAGATTCAATTTAGGTGATTGTGGACAGATTGACTAAATCAACCCATTTCATTATGGTACGAACCGATTTCTCCATGGATAAGTATGTCTAATTGTACATCAGGGAAATTATCAGATTGCATGGTGTACCGATTTCAATTGTTTCTGATCAAGATCCTAGATTCAGTACAACATTTCATCCTCAGACCGATGGATAATCCGAGCTGACTATCCAAATTCTGGAGGATATATTGAGAGCCTGTGTAATAGAGTTCAAAATATCGTGTGAAAATTACTTGTCACTTACCGAATTTGCCTACAACAATAGCTATCAGTCAAGTATTAAAATGGCTCCCTATGAAGCTTTGTATGAGAGAAAGTGTCGTACACCTTTGAATAAGTACGAGCTTAAGGATCGAGAAGTCCTTGGTCCTGATTTAATTAAGGAAGTGGAAGAAAAAGTTCAAGTAATTCAGAACAATCTAAAAGCGACTGCTGATAGACAAAAATCATATGCTGATCTGAAGAGAAAATAAATTAAGTTTCAAGTTGGAGATAAAGTGTTTTTAAAGGTGTCTCCATGGAAGAAGGGTTGAGATTTGGACAAAAAAAGTTGAGTCCTCGTTTTATTGGGCCTTATGAGATCATTCAGAGAGTTGGACCAATGCATACCAATTAGCTTTGCCACCAGAAATGGAAAGATTCATAATGTATTCCACGTTTTAATGCTTCGAAGATATAGGTTCGATCCCTCCCATATCGTTACCCCAGAGGAGGTAGAGGTTCAGCCTGACCTGATTTATGAGGAATAATTGATCCAAATATTAGCTCATGAGGTGAAACAACTAAGGAATAAGACTATTCCATTAGTTAAAGTATTGTGGAGAAATCACAAGGTGGAGGAAGCAACGTGGGAACGTGAGGAAGATATGAGGAATCAGTACCCACATCTCTTTGTGCAATGAAACTTTGAGGATGAATTTTCTTAAGGGGGAGATTTGTAACATTCTCAATACCAGGTTAGTGACTAAATTGAAAAATTCAGAATTTGTTAGTCAAAGTAGATAAATTGAATAGTTCATGGATGTATATGATTAAATATCAAAGATGGAAGAATAGAAGGGCAAAATGGTCATTTGATAGCAAGATAATTAATTTGAGAGGGGTTATATATATATTTACACGTGGGATGTAGGAGAAGAAAAAGAAAAGTTCCAGAGTTCTCTTCAACTTCTTATTTCTTTCAACCGTGGAATCAAGTTGCTAAGGTGAATTTCATTGTTAACTAATTATTCATTGAATTTAAGAGTGGTTTTTGATCATTCGGTGATACTTAAGCTTAAGGAAAGTTTAAGTTAACTTTAAATCAAAGAATGAAGGAGTTAAGAGAGATTAAAAATAAGGAGTTTTTAAATGAAAACTTGGAAAAAAGTTGATAAGTAGAATTGGAAGCTAAATTTGACTTGTCAATAGTTGAATTAAGGGATATGAAGTGATACAATTGAAATTATAACATATAGAAAATTTGGTATGATTCTTGATTTCCATTTTGAGGATGAGATTTTGAGGATAAAGAGATATTAAATGCATAGGAATTGGTTTGGGTATGCATGTTTGAGTTAAGAGTATTAAAGGGGTTAAGATATGAATGATTTGAGTTAGAATGAGTGAATTTTCGGGTTCTAAAAGAAAAATCAAGGCTATGGATATTGGTACTGATTCATTGGGTACCGATACTCCAAGAGTAAAATAAGGAAGACATTCATGAGGTATCGATACATGAAGAACAATATCGATACCATAAGGACGGTATCGATACCATCTTTGAAACGAGAATTATAAAATGAAATATGGGTATCGATTCCTAGGCATGATACCAATACCACAGTTAGGTAAGTATTGATACCCTATAGGGGTACCAATACTACTTCAAATAGAAAATGAAATTTTGCCTTTTCTTTAGTTTAAGAAATGAGAAATCATAGTATGCTATTTGGAATACTGATGTGTATAAATATATGATTATGTAGACATCGAGCGTAAGCAAGTTCCGGAATGACCCCCGAGTTAGGATTCGATCCAAAGAAAGGAAGTCATAGAAGTAGTTGATATCAAGGTGAGTGCATACTATAGGTTTAGTTTGATGGAAATAAAACTTGTGATGAGTCTATTCCCTATATTAATTTTCATAATCTAATAATTATGAACATGCATATGTTATGATCATTATAGAAACATGCATGAGTTATACATGTTTGTATGATTTGATATATGATATTTGATTCATGTGAATATACTGGTAACATATGTTATATGATATGAAATTGATGGTTACACATATATGTGATATGTGACAAAAGAGAGAAAACATGTGATCATAAGAGAATTGATATGAAAATAGTGCTCATGTTATATGATATGAGAGCTATAGGTATAGTTGGCATGCCAAGAGTCGAGGGTTACCTATGTCCTTCCTTCGGGACATATGGACAGGTACCTATGTTCTTCGGAACATATGGATAGGTCCTTCGGGATATAGATTTTATATGCCACTTAGTGAAAATCTTATACGAGCTGTGGTGACAGCATATGTGTACACAACCTCAAAGTACTCATATACCTAAAGTTCTTAATAATGTACATGGACTTGTAAAATATGTAACGAGCATGTACATGTTTGCATGTTATTATTGTTTATATTGATTCATATATGACATCATGGATTTATGATAAGCATAATGGTCACTGGATAGTTGATTGAATGTTCATATTTATAGAAATTCCTTATTATATTTATGCCTCACTAAGTTTATGACTTAGCCGGTAAGTGTTTTACTCGTAGGTACAGGAAAACAAGAGGACCAGTCTTAGGAACAACAAAGCAGTATATCTCCACTGGAAGATCAGATCAGAAGTACTTTGCACTGTATGTTTTAGTTATGTAGTAGATGTATTGGCATGTAAATAGAGTCGTAATGTACATATGCTCTGATCAATTTTGTAATGTTTTGAACTTACTTATGTAAAATACAGATTTTATGTTAATGAAAGTTTAAATTTTCTATGGTTTTATTATATACTTGTTTTGAAAAGTCAATATGACACCTCATATTCGTATCCGGGTCGGGTACGGATTGGGGGTGTTGCATTAACCTATAGAATAAGTTGCATGCATGAAATGCATGAAAGCTCAACCTATAGTACCTTGATAATGCACTAATTATGAACACTTTTAGTTTTAGGACCATGGCTCTAAGGGTTTCATAATTGAAATATATATATATATATTGCACTGCTTTATTTATTTATTGAATAGTACAATACCTTATTTATTGTCTTATTGGTTATTTGAATAATTCATACTAACATGAAAGGAAATCTTTACATTACTAAGAACATATTCAAATTAAAAAAAAACAAATATAAAAAAGTAGTTAAGTCTATTCCAAAAACCCTGAAAATACATGAGAACTATCTTGAAATGTGATTCGAAACAATTATATTATACGAGAGTTGTTAATGTATATAATACGTATAAAAAAATATGAAACATAATTATTATATTGTTAAGATATTAATTGTATAAATAATTATAGAATATGTAAAATTATATATGATTTATTATTTATGAGATTATTATTATTTTCGAATAGTTTAAGGTGATTACAAGATAATATCTATTCAAAATATTTATTAACCATTGATAATATACACATACCTTACTAGGGATGGCAAAAAAACTCGAACCCAACGGGGAAAACCGAAAACCGAATAAAACGGGTCGGGTTCGGGGATGATAAACGGGGACGGGGATGGGGAAAACCCATTTATTTTAAATGGGGACGGGGACTGGGACGGGTTTGGTAATCCCCGCCCCGATTACCCGATTATCCGCCCCGATTACCCGCCCCGATACCCAACCCGATAAATATTAAAAATAATTATTTATATATATAATATTAAAAATTTAATTTAAATAAAAAATATATTTAATTTAATATATATATACCTGGCCCAATACCTGGCCCAATACCCGTTTAAATAACCGTTTATGCTAAACGGGGATACCTGTTTCCCCGCGGTTTCCCCCGATTACCCGACGGGGATCCCCGTTTAAATCCCCACAGTTTTTTAAACGGGGACGGGTACCGATTTTTTAAACGGGGACGGGGGACCAATACCCTGCCCGAACCCGGCCCGTTGCCATCCCTATACCTTACAAACGTAATTGTTTGAACTAAAAAACCTAGAGAGAACAACACTCATTTTTATCACTGAGGTTATTCAATGATATCAAAAATATTATTATTATTATTATTATCATATAATTATATTTTTTTTAAAAGAAAATTACGAGTAAACCTGAGAAAGTGGTATATATATACAAGGATATTTGAAAGCTTGTAATTATACCATAGGAAAAAAAAGAGAGGCGAATGGAATGGTATAGAAAGGAGGTGCGTTTAGCGGGGGCGGCCCATTTGGCATTTCAGCCTCTCCTAATACATTATCATATCTTCACAATGCTTTGCTTTTCAATTTCATTCACACAATCAGCAATCGCATCGCCCCATCTCCCTCCCCCGGGTTTCTTCTTCCCTCCCACTCCTACTCTCACACCCTTCAAACCACGCTCTTCAATCGCTTCTCGTTGTACCCAAATTGACTTAACAACTCAGCATGAAGAAACACCCCACAATGCTTATCCGAAGCAAGACGAATCGCCACCAGAAGAAGAAGAGCCCTTTCAAGTGTTGACGTCCGTCAAGACTGCATACAATGACATTCTCATCGTCTACACTGCTGAATCCAGGATGCTTCTACTCGATTCCACTCGTACGTTTTCTTTCATTTTTTTTAGAATATTTATCAATCGCTCGTTATTGTTATATACAATGGCTTGATTCATTCCCAAAATCCCAATGCGCCCATTGCAGATAATGTCCATAGCATTCTACAAAAGGGTGGCGAGAAATGGACTGGATCATATTGGGTATGTTGTGAAGAAGCCTCTTCTTTTGTTCTTTTGTTCTTTCGTACTTTTTTTTTTCACATGTAATCAGTTTAAGCATGTTCTGTTTTGTTTTGGAACCCTATAAACCTGTTCACTTTGATTGTAATTGTCTAGCCTGATCAAATTGATTAGTGTCAGATAAGATGTTCTATACCGTGTTTCCACTTTCCATATGCCTTCAGTTTGTGTGGGCTGTTTTAACTATCTTTTTTCCCTTACCAATTTTAGGACGAATTCGCTAGTTTACTACCAATTGTTCCTGAAGGTCCCATCGCAATCTACGGATTGGTAACGCATTTTATCTTTTATCTGATTCTAACCTGCAGTTTTGTTCTCGCTAATTTGAAATTAGTGAATATGTTTGTGAAGCTATACTCTATTGTAGGGCGGTGGAACAGCTGCGCATCTGATGCTTGACGTGTGGCCTTCATTGCAGGTTGAAGGTTGGGAGATTGATGAAATAGTAAGGATAAATTTATGTTGGCAAGTGCATGGTAGACATTCTACAATTTAGTATCATTATCATTGTTCCATACCACTTAAAGAATTTAGTAAGGTGGCATTTGCTATACTTACGAACCGTCTTTGCATGGTTTAAATATTTAAATCAATGAAGATCACTCTCAATTGATTTCTTTTTTAATAGGTGGTGATTATTTCTTTTCTGTACATAGTTAATTGATAAAGCAAGATAATATTTTGGTCTATCCAATCTTGAGAAGTGTAATGAAGTTGGTGGTGGGCTTCAAGTTCACATTGGTGATGTCTTTTCACCTGAACAGCATCTTCCTTCAGGATATGCTGGTGAGATTTCAGTTTTAGTTTTATGCATAGTTGACTTTCTAAGATCATTAACACACACACAAACATTTTCTCCTGGATATTATCTTGTTTCATACACTAGGAATCCTATATATCTCCTAGAAATAAGCTGCTGGAGGTTGAGTTGATTAAGTTCTTTATTCTGATGATCTCAAAAAGGCTATTATTTTCTGGCTTTTGGTTCATAATTCCAGTTAGCATCTACATTTTCAGCTAAAGCATGATATCGGCTTTAGCACCCCTTTTTTTCTAACTTGTGACAGTTAACATTCAGGTATCGTCATTGACTTGTTCTCTGATGGAAAGGTTCTGTCGCAGTTGCAAGAGGTATGTACCATGTGGCAATCACAAAACATATTAGAGACTTTTTTTATAGATTTAGTTAAGAGAAAAGCGGTGGGGCTTGTATAGAGTTACAATAGGTCTGAGGCTGAGTGCAGAGAATAAGGGATAACGGGCTATAGTTCTGGTACTGTGAGCACTATTTGTGTAAAATTTGCATTAGGCTTCATTCTTTGATGAATGCAGGTGTAATTTGGGTTTTACAACAGTAGACTTGTGTTTTATGAGATTATCTTCTATAGGATTTCTTGTGATGAGTACAAAATTAGAATAGCAGAGGTGAAGAAATCACTAAGCTTATGCTTGGATCCTTTGTTTTACATCTAAGGTCCATTGCTTCATCAATCATCAGATTAGTTTCATTTTCTTTACAATGAGCTCTCATATCATGTACAGACATCTTCCAGTGATGGTTGAACAAGGACTTATCAAGTAGAGAGCTAACAAACTGACTTAGAGCAATATTATGTTATAAATTGAAAATATGTTAGCATTAGCAAAACATAAGACCAGACTTTTAGACTCAAAAACTAGTAATTTTTTTAGCAAACCAAGATGTTACCAAAATTCCCAGAACTTCATGTATAAGAAACCTGTAAATTAAGTACACCCAACAGCTCTGAAACTCAAATTTGAAGAAACATGATAGAAGGAAAAAATTCTATTTATTCAGGCTTATATATTGCCCTAAATCAGTCACAACATCAAATAAAGACCATGATCTATGTGTTATAGGAAGTCGAAGTGTCCAACTTTCCTGTTCAATTTCCCAGTCCGACAAATTGAGTTGTTCCCGATTTACTCGCTTCTTCTGTAGGGTTCATATCTCAATAGGGTGCTATGATCCTTTTTTTTTCTTTTTAGCTTCTACCGTACACTCTTACTGCTCGTTTCTCAGAAGACTCTATCTTTTGAAGGAAGATAGACTCACAAAAATACTATAAGAAATATCGAAAAGTTGAGTCCTCTGGAGAGAGAAATCTCTCTTGGCATGTTTTCATTGAAAAAAGTTCATTAACATAAATTCCACAACTTTTTCAGTCAAATGTACTGGACTTTATTTGTCTTAGATGATAAGGATATCTTCAGAAATTAATTATAATCAGTTGATGATAATGACAACCCAAAATGATGAATTTAGGAAATAATAAATGCTAAATGCCAAAGTAATAATAAGATAAACCCATGCTAAAGAAGATGGATTAAATTGTTGGCAAAGAGTGAACCATGCAAACTGCAGTATAACACCAGGGAGCTGGCCAAATGAGTTGATGACTGAGGCCTACAAGATCATCATCTGTTATCTGTTAGACAAACAGTAATGACTTGTTTGCTACATGTTTCATGTCCATATTTGACAGTTTGCAACATGTTATATAATTTCCTTTGTCAGGTTGAAACTAAGTGATAGATTGATGCCCAATGGTCGAATTATGGTTAATTGTGGTGGGATAAGTGAATCATCCATAGATGGAATAGTACACCATAAATCTGTTGATGAAATTTGGATACAAAATTCTACCATCAAGGCATTAGCTGAAGCATTTCCCGGACAAGTATGTTATTTGTTTCTGTTTTTTTTTTGGTTCTTGTGGTCATATTTTTTTCATTTATTAAATTAATTTTATTTAGTGAGAATGGGAGATGATGCTGTTCTCAAGAAATATTTTATTAAATGGTTGAATAGTTCAAAAAGAACGAAATTATAGAGCCAACTGGGTTATCTAGCTTATGCTTGTTTTTTGCTTACTTTCTATTACTTAACATACTTGATAAGCAATGCTTGAATATTTGGATTAGCACATGGGCCTGGGAGTGAAAGGGGAACAAACAAAGAAATTACAAACTGAATCAAGAAATCTTGACTAAAGACTAAAGGATAATCACATCGAAGTCAAAGGTCCTACCTTGTATATAACTCAAAGCCTTAAGCAAACCCTCTCTTGTCTTGTATAAGTGAATTAGCACGTGGACCAAGAAACTGAGGTCAAAGCCTGGATTGAAACAAGAAGCTGAATGAAATAAAAATTAACATGATGCAAACCAAACTACTACACAGGTGTAATATTCTTGATACTGGAGTCTTTGATGCCCTGCTATGAAATAGTTATCCTGAAGGAGCTTTAAGTTGATATGAAATAATTAATTTAACCATGTATATTTAGTGGAAAAGTGTTGAAGAAGTTAACCCGAAGGATCTTTAAATCGATGTGAAATATCTAATTTTACTATGTATGTGTAGTGGAAACTTGTTGAAACAGGCAAACTTCAGAATTTGTCTAAATTGGTTTTTATTTTTTATTTTTACCTTAATGCTTGTATTTCATTTTAGATAATGGTTAGATTTGTGTGTTCATTTTGTTTAGTGGTCATCTGACTAGATTTTGATCTCTTGATATGTATGAATACTTAGGATTCAACTAATTTCCTTTTTGTTGAAAAGAATGAAATTTTGTATTGTATATTCTCTTAGTTACAGGTCTATCTTATAGACTAGAAGTAGAAGAGATAAATAAAGGAAGGAAATAAACTCTAAAAAATAAGTAATCTAATCCCTAAACCTCATTTTTTTGCATGCTTTATACGAGAAAAAGAAAGATAATAATACACAATATTTTCCTCAAGGAAAGATAATAACACAATATTTCCGCACTTTTACTGTTTTAAGCTTGGTTTTAATGTTTTTACTCCCCATTGCTTCACTTGCACGTGTTTCTCCATTCATATTAGAAAGACCAAAAATCAAGTAGATGGAAAACAAAGCAAAGCATATCATCCAGTCTATCATTTATAATGCAAAACTACCAGTAATTAAATGAGTAAAATACTGTTTGAAATAACTTTATGAATATAAAGAATCCTAAAATTATAACTACTAAAACCTATGTTGCCCAGACTCTTCTTTTTTCTTGAAGCATCCATGTATGACACTCGTGTTTGACACAAGGATATAACTCTAGGCATATCCATTTAGATGGAAAAACTTAAAAAACTTTGGCTATACCCATTTCAAACACATACATGTATTCAACACTTACATGTGAGACCGAGTAATATAATGCCTAAACCTATAAATATAACGAAATATTTTAGTCTTGTCCGAGGAATAACCTTACACTCTTTTAGACTTGGCAATTCATGTATTTATATGGTGTTGTATTTTTGTCATATCATAATTGTTCTTAAAGTATTTTCTATTTATATGAGTTTTGATAGATTAGTAATTTATATTATATAGAGTTTGAGATATTTTGTGTATTTGTGCTATTTTTTCATGCCGTGTATATAAACTTATAAGTCCTAGATTTCCTTTGTTTCTTTATGGTTCCACCTTCCAATTGTCAAACAACTATCATGTTGAAGATAAAAAAAGTGTTAATAAATTATCTGACTATGCTATTTGCTAGAAGACAAATGTTGCATAAATTACAAGGTCATATATGAGATGGAAAATTGCTAACTGTTGCGTGTTGTGAGTACTATAAAATATACGCAAATAATGTGCAAGTATACACAATCGCTCAAGTAATAATGATGAGTGAGTATCGTCTCCACAGGGGATTGGGTGAAATCACAAAAGTCTAACCAAAGCAATGCAATATTCTATCTAAGTATAGTTAGTCTTGATATATACAAATGTCACGGCAATGGATATGTGTATGCTGGTGGATGCGGATTGATGGTGTGATGGTGTAGCAAATGGAAATGCAGTGGCAATGATGGATGTTTAATATTGAGTATGGTGAAATGTCAAGGCAATGAGAAATGGTAAAAACAGTAAATTAAAAAGATAAATAAAATAAGAAGAAAATAATCCTCACGTGACAAGCTTCCAATGAAATGAATGGTAAGGATTGGTCTAAGGTTGCTAAACTTATTTCTCAAGTATATCTAAGCTATCTTGTCTTTACTTACTCGACAGGGCTTTCCTAAGGTGTTCAAAAGAACCTAACAGAATAGGATGTCAAGGCATCTG